AAATTACGGGAAATTCCAATGCAAGGGCGCTGAGTAAATTGTAAGGAAGTCCCAAGCGAGAGCGCGATTCCTGAGTCCAACGCGAAGAAGTCTCAGGCGGGAGCGGGGGTCCTGGCTAAATTGTGAAGAAGTCTCAAGCGGGAGCCGTTGTTGTTGTAACCCGGGGGCCAGGGGCACAATTTGAGCCTCAAGACTTTCCGTTGAAAAAAACCGGGAGCGAGCGCCGGGAGGGGCACTTCAATTGAAAAATACAATGTGCTTCAGAGTGGGGATCAACAGCAATTATTCTTCAATAGGGGAAGTTCAACAACAACAACAGCAACAACAACAACAACGCAACAAGCAAAACTCCCACCACGAATTCCCTATTCAGCCACGCGCCCAGGGACAATGACTGACCATTCGGCCCTCCCACTCTGACACACACATAAGATATATATGTAGGTATGTATGTATCTGTATGTATATGTACAGATACAGGTGTATCTATATACATATATACATGTTTATATGTGTGTATAAGCCCACCAACTATGCGTATATATTCACACAGGTATATGTAGGTGTAAACATATATATATATATATGTATATATGTATAAGCAAATGTATATGTGTATGTGTCGTCTACGAATACGTATCGGAGGTTGGGGGGGTGAAATCAAAATGGAATGGGAACCCCCCAACCAGGAAATCGTTTCGTTTCGTTCGTGTCGTGCGTGCGGGCGAGGCGAAGCTGCGTGGGCGCACGAGAGGAATGAACCCGCCTTTTCCAGGGCGAAACCAAGACAAATGATTCTCGCCCTCCCGCCAATCTGGCGGTGGCCCCAAGTGTCCCGCGGTGTCCCGTGGTGTCCCGTGGTGTCCGCCGTTGCTTGGGCAAAGTCATGACAAATGATTTTCCCCCTCCCGCCCGTCCGGCAGTGGCCCCAGGTGTCCCGCGGTGTCCCGTGGTGTCCGCCGCTACTAGGGCGAAACCAAAACAAATTACCCTGGCGACGTACCCAACCCCTGCGCAAACGCGGGGCGCAAATAGTTTAGGACACTTTATAAGGGGCGCGATGACGGAGCGAGGGTTACATATGTCTGCAGACGGAATTCGGGAGACTCGCAGGCTCGCTACAGGACAAGGACTAGATAAAGCTGATTAGTTACAATCCCTGAGCAACCCTAGCCACTTCGAAAGCGGTGATCTCAGATCGCAGCCCCCCAGGGATGGCGAGGTCTAAGTTGGGTCCGCGCGTGGCGTCACTGTGCTGGGCCCCCCAGCAGGCCTCGAAAGTGGCGACAGTTGCACAGATCACAGCCCCCCAGGGAAGGCGAGGTCAAATTTGGGTCCGCGCGTGGCTTCACTGTGCTGGGCCCCCAGCAGGCCTCGAAAGTGGCGACAGTTTCACAAATCGCAGCCCCCCCAAAGATGGCGAGGTCTGATTTGAATCTGCCCGTGGCCCTCACTGTGCTGGGCCCCCCAGCAGGCCTCGAAAGTGGCGACAGTTGCACAGATCGCAGCCCCCCAGGGATGGCGAGGTCTAATTTGGGTCCGCGCGTGGCGTCACTGTGCTGGCCCCCCAGCAGGCCTCGAAAGTGGCGACAGTTTCACAGATCGCAGCCCCCCAGGGATGGCGAGGTCTAATTTGGGTCGTCACTGTGCTGGGCCCCCCAGCAGGCCTCGAAAGTGGCGACAGTTTCACAGATCGCAGCCCCCCAGGGATGGCGAGGTCTAATTTGAATCTGCCCGTGGCGTCACTGTGCTGGGCCCCCCAGCAGGCCTCGAAAGTGGCGACAGTTTCACAGATCGCAGCCCCCCAGGGATGGCGAGGTCTAATTTGAATCTGCCCGTGGCGTCACTGTGCTGGGCCCCCCAGCAGGCCTCGAAAGTGGCGACAGTTGCACAGATCGCAGCCCCCGAGCGATGGCGAGGTCTAATTTGGGTCCGCCCGTCGCCCTCACTGTGCAGGGCCCCAGGCCTCGAAAATGGCGACAGTTTCACAAATCGCAGCCCCCCCAAAGATGGCGAGGTCTGATTTGAATCTGCCCGTGGCCCTCACTGTGCTGGGCCCCCCAGCAGGCCTCGAAAGTGGCGACAGTTGCACAGATCGCAGCCCCCCCAAAGATGGCGAGGTCCAATTTGAATCTGCCCGTGGCCCTCACTGTGCTGGGCCCCAGCAGGCCTCGAAAATGGCGACAGTTGCACAGATCGCAGCCCCCCAGGGATGGCGAGGTCTAATATGAATCCGCGCGTCGCCCTCACTGTGCCGGGCCCCCCAGCAGGCCTCGAAAATGGCGACAGTTTCTCAAATCGCAGCCCCCCCAAAGATGGCGAGGTCTGATTTGAATCTGCCCGTGGCCCTCACTGTGCTGGGCCCCCCAGCAGGCCTCGAAAGTGGCGACAGTTGCACAGATCGCAGCCCCCCAGGGATGGCGAGGTCCAATTTGAATCTGCGCGTCGCCCTCACTGTGGTGGGCCCCCCAGCAGGCCTCGAAAGTGGCGACAGTTGCACAGATCGCAGCCCCCCCAGGGATGGCGAGGTCTAATTTGAATCTGCGCGTCGCCCTCACTGTGCTGGGCCCCCCAGCAGGCCTCGAAAATGGCGACAGTTTCACAGATCGCAGCCCCCCAGGGATGGCGAGGTCTAATTTGAATCTGCGCGTCGCCCTCACTGTGCTGGGCCCCCCAGCAGGCCTCGAAAATGGCGACAGTTTCACAGATCGCAGCCCCCCCAGGGATGGCGAGGTCTAATTTGAATCTGCGCGTCGCCCTCACTGTGCTGGGCCCCCCAGCAGGCCTCGAAAATGGCGGCAGTTTCACAGATCGCAACCCCCCCAGGGATGGCGAGGTCTAATTTGAATCTGCGCGTCGCCCTCACTTTGCTGGGCCCCCCAGCAGGCCTCGAAAATGGCGACAGTTTCACAGATCGCAGCCCCCCGCAGGCAAGACAGGAAGAGGCAGGGAGGGAGGGAGGAGGAAGGAAGGAAGGAGTGGAGACCACACTGCTCTATTCAAAACGAATACCCAACCAAGGAGGGTTGGGAATTATTCTCCCCCTCCCACCCGTCCGGCGGTGGCTCGCAGTGTCCCGCGGTGTCCCGCGGTGTCCCGTGGTGTCCCGTGGTGTCCGCCGCTGCTAATTAGGGCGAATTCAAGACAAATGATTTTCCCCCGCTCGTCCGTCCGTCCGTCCGTCCAGCGGTGGCTCGCGGTGTCCCGTGTTGCCCCGTGGTGTCCCGTGGTGTCCCGTTGAATGATATCGATCGTGATGTCGATATTGAGATCGATAGTGAGATCGATGCAAAGATCGGTGTGGTGCCCATGGGTGTCCTGTGATGTCCCAAAAGGTGAGATCGATAGTGAGATCGATGGTGAGATCGACAGGCGTCCCGTGGTGTCCTGTGGTGTCCCGTTGAGTGAGATCGATGGTGAAATCTGTAGTGAAATCGATGTGGTGCCCCGATGTGTCCCGTGGTGTCCGAAAAAGCGAGATCGATAGTGTGATCAAAATTACAATTGATGGTGAAATCGATACTGCGATCGATGTGGTGCCCCGAAGTGTCCCGTGTTGTCCCGTCGAGTATGGTCGCTAAGGAGATCGATAGTGAGATCGATGTGGTGTCCCTAAGTCCCGTGGTGTTTCGTGGTGTCCTATGGAGTCCCGTTGAGTGAGGTCGACAGTGAGATCGATAGTGAGACCGAGAATGCAATCGAGAAAAATCCCGCGGTGCCCCGTGGTGTCCAGTGGGGGCCCGTTGAATGAGATCGATAGTGAGATCGATCATGAGATAGACAGATGTGCCGTGGTGTCCCGTGTTGTCCCGTTGAGTGAGATCGATAGTGAGATCGATTGAGTCAGATGTTGGTTCCCCCCTTCTGCCCCCGCCCACAGTCTCCTTATCACCCGAAGCGTGGTCGTATAGGTCTATTCATATGCATATGTGTGTAGGTGTACGTGTGTGTATGCATGCATGCATGCATGCATGCATGAATGTATGTCTACAAGGGACTATACGTATATATATATATATATATATATATATATATATATATATATATATATATGTCCACACACACATATGTATGTCGGCCTTTTCCGCGCCACCCGTGCTCCCCGTCCTCATCTGTCTCCTCCCGCTCCCACTGCCCCCCCTTTGACGCGCGGACGCGAGCACGCGCGCAGCCGCGGCGCTCGACCCCGCCCAAAGGCTCAGTCCGGGACCTCTGGGGCCTGCGCAAATGCCTTGCGCAGCCGGGCATGCAAACGCCTCCGCGCTGCCTCCCGCGCAGGGCAACTCGCCAAGGAGCAGCGCCGCCTGGCACCGCGCCGGCAGACGCCCCCTCCGAAAACACCCCAAACTCCCGTCCCCCATGTCGTGTGCGCCCCTCCGAACCCCAGCCGTGCATTCGCCTGCTTCGAGAGGGGCAGGCCGTCTGCGCGGAGGCAGCGCTTTGGGGTGGCGTCTGCTCCGCAGGTGGGGGCGCGTTGGCATCGGCCTCTGGCAGGCCCGATATGAGATCACGGGTGTGCCACCTGAGTTAGGTCGGCTCTGTCCCCCTACAGACGGATTTTGGGCGAAAGCTGAAACAATGCTCGAAAATGGTCAAACAACCGTCCCCAGACAATTTGTTTAACTATTTTTGAAGTTCCCCCCTGAGACGAGCACTTGAGCTACGATCCAGGAGAAGCAGAAGTACCACTATCACCAGCTATGGGGGTGACCGTTCCCTCCGCTCGAGCCGGTGGCACCTCCTTCCGGAAACTCTCTTGAGGCATGCCCGGAGCGAGGCGCCACCAGCTCGAGAGCGTGGGACAGGCACCCCCCTAGCTGGTGGTAGTGATACTTTTCTGGTGAAGGATCAGAGGGTCTTACCCGAGACGACATACAGTCAAGTCGTACCAGGAGGAGGCACGCTAAGGATGCAGGGGCCTTGGCAGGCCATCTCGAGGCTTTTCGGGCGGGTCGCGGCCAACGAAAGTGGCGAAGGATGGGCTGGGGAGGCAAGGATGCAATGGTACCCTTTGGAAGGTTGCCCGTCCTTACTATGGTGTTGACTGTATACGGCGACGGATGTGCCAAATGAGCGACGATCAGAAACGGATCTTACGCGAGACGACGTAGAGACATGACGCCGCAGCTTACGCGGGCCACCAGCGCGGCACGCCACACCCAAAGCGACGCGCCCACGCGCGGCGCTACGCGGCCAGCTTCGGCGCCAGTGTCGGTGAAGACGACCCCTTTTTGTTGGCGTCGCTCACTTGACAAGGACGGGACGTGTCGTTGCGATCCCACCGCCAACTCAGCGCACTTCATGGGCGATAGGAGAGTGGACTGGAGTCAGGTGTTTTGGGCGAGGGAGGCACCGCTTGTATTCAGTCTGCTTGCACTTGTGCGGCGAGGGGTTAAAGTTTTTGTCTGCTTTGATTTCCCGAACCGAAGCGCAGGGGCCAGGAGGAGAACAACTCTCAGAGGACAACAATAACCGCTAGGACACGCATGAGGATGAGGATCGGATGACGAAAGAACCCATCATGAAAATAGTATGAGAAATTACCATGGCCACGCGGGTTACGGTCGTCATCACGAGACGCTGTAAAGCTGAGGCCACTCAGCGAATCCAACCGCTACATGATAATAGCCAGGGTGAGAAACATCACTGGTGATACCTGATGTTCCATGTCTCTACACAATATCGCAAAACCGAATCAAATCTGGGGAAACCACGAGGTATCGATACCGCTGCCCCCTGGACCTCTGCCGAGGTGCGTTCTGACTAGGACTTCGAAGCGAATCCAGTCGGGGCGACGAGGGCCTCCCAGGAGCCCCAAAACACGAGAAAACGGGGCGAGGGTAGCGGTATGGGCACCTCTTCCTCCTCTGACACATGTGCACCTAGAGCCAGAAAGCGCTCGGACCCGAAGGACGATGGGATCAAGGAAAGGCGACACCAATTCCACCAGGGCGAGGAGATGCGAGGACCAATTGGGGTCTCCCATGTGGTGCGGTCCCCCCTCTCGCTCGAGACATCCCCAGTCTCCAGCCCGGGGAGGCATCCTGGACCTTCTCGCTGGAGGTGGCCTCCCTGGTGGTGTTGGTGTCGCTTCTCCCCACTCCGAGACGAGGTGCTCCTTCTGCAGAAGGGCATTCACGTGCTGCAGGCCCTGCTGCTGCAGCTGCAGCAGGCCAAGGTGCTGCTGCGGTTGCCGCGCCTGCAGCCACTGCTGCTGCTGCAGCAGCTGCTGCTGCTGCAACAACTGCTGCTGCTGCTGCGCCGCGGCCCCGGGCTGCTGCTCCTGGGGTTCCGTCGGGCATGTCCTCCTACAGGCGGATTTTGGTCGAAACATCAAACATTGTCCAAACATGCTCGGGAGTTGTAGAACATAGTTTAAACAGATCGTCTCATGGCTACTTTATTTTTGGATATTCCCTTTGTTAAGGGACATGCCCGACTGCTTCCTGGGGGAGCGAGCAGGTATCGATGCCGCACTTGGGGCCCAGAAGTAGCAAGGCTGTTTTGCCAACGACCTCGAACAGTACCTCTTGAAAGCGCAAACAACATGAAAATATGGTGACTGGAAGCGGCAACACACACGGCTCCGGAACTGGAGCGGGAGCCCGAACCAAACAAAACAACGACGACGGAACGGGACAAAAACGGCGACGTAACCGGCAAACAAACGGCAAAACGGAACCAGTACCAAAATCGACCGCGCCGTTTGCAGGGACCACTCAGATGCCGCCTCTCTTGAGCAGGAACCGATCGACTCCAGCATCCCCAGAGGTCTACCACGAAATGCTCATAGAACAGAAGCATGGCCTGAGGACCAAGAAGTCCTCAGAACGGAACGCCGATGCATGGAAGCAAGCCTGCGTTCTAGGCACATCTCGTACAAACCACAGAAAGCCATTAGACCATGACCTGGTTGGCCCGTAGGCAGGTAAGGACGACTCGCCACTTCTCGATACTCCCATCGGTCTCCCCTGGCGTACATCTCCAGGCGAATCCAGCCGTGGCGACGAGGGCCCCCCAGGAGGCCCACGGAGGCGAACACAAACTAGGGGATGGTGGCCTCGGAGCTCCTGCGCCGCCCTGGCCCTGGGGACTCTGGCGTGCCTGATGAAGACAAAACGGCGTGAAGGCAAACTGTTGGCGTTCCGCGCGTATTTTCTGGCTCTGCGCTGGACCCCCCTCCCTGGCGCGCTCCGCGCGCCAGGGGCGGCGCCGGAGGCGCCGCTCGGGGGTGCCCAGCACGGATCCAAGCAGCCCGCGCGCAGCGCCAAAAGTTTATGCTTATGCGTTGTTCTTCTACGACAAGAGGCCCACAGAGGTGAACACACCAGGGTTATGGTTCCGAAGCTGGACGATGGCCAGCAAAACCGTGGCTGCTGAAACGGTCCTGGAAGGGAAAACACAAAATTCCCAGCCTGAGACGCAGAACGCCAAATAGTACAGGGCTGCTTGACCCGAAAGGAGAGCACACTTTCCCGGAGCTCCGTTCTCGCAGCCACG